TTATACTGGGAGTCAGGGCCAGCACTAGGAACCTATCTGGGCTCTCAGTCTAAAGCTATCCACACACTGCCAGCGATACAAGATTCTTTAGCTCTGCCAACTACGATGTAGTATATTCCTGGTTGGATACGAACGGTTCGGATAGTCCAGGGAAGTCCTCATATCACATAGTTTTGGTAATTCTAAAGGAGATTATAAATGCTTTTCACCCTTCACATTGTAATAAAACTGTACGCTGAGAATACATCAGTTTTAGGGCCTGCTCACACCATCCAATCAGCTCAGGGCTTGGTGCCATGAACATACTGCATCGCATAAACAAAGGCTTCCTGCATTCATGTCAATGGCACTGCAGACACACCTCCTGTCCGCAGTGAGATCTCACGCACCGCAACACGTGAAACCACCATGAATGGCACCATCCCCTCCCACCCCAGAACGCGGGGAGCTTTTATTTATGCGATCCAGTGTGTCCATGGCACGGAACCAAGCCCAGAATGCATTGGATGGTGTGAACAAGCCCTTAGAGTACCGCTGACCATCTCCTCTGTTCACCATCTTGTTTGTTCAAACTGCAGGACCCTTCATAACCAATCATTACATCTTGTACCATCAGACATCAGTCATTTGTGTTCTGGGTTCATGCGCAGAGCTCCTTGCAGTGATCATGACATAAGGTACGTATCATCCTCAACGGATCATCAGAGGAACCATAATGTGCTTCACAGGAAGATTGCAGAGTCAGGTATGAATTATATAGACCAAATTCTCAGATCACTCACCTCCTTGTGGGTCAAATATATCTCTAGCCGTATCTCTAGCCGTTTATCCCCGATTTGGAGTAGAGAACAGTTGGAACCTGTCAGTTTTTTTTCTCTCTTTGCTGCCTCTTTTTCCTTCACTTTCTGTCCCAGTGACATTGACACCGGAACAGAAAGTAAAGGGAAACACAAAATATTACCTGACGGGCCAGCCATAGCCTACTCGACAATACAACAAACAAAAATATTCTGGATGCGGAGACTTTCATTTTATATAGGAAGTCGCATTCATGAATGGAGTACGTTACTTTTTAAAGGACATAAAAAGCCGACCTCAGATCAGGTTTAGGTAAGCATAGAAGACCACAGCATTAAAGGGAAGAACCCCCCCGACCCATGTGTTCCTACAGCTATCACATTTTCCATTGTCAGACGAGCGATCCTGCAGAACTCACCAGCGATGGGGGACACTGACAGACCGCCTCTTCCTGTGGAGTCGCTCCCACACTGGACCAGCGAATTGTTGATCTCTCTATTCTGTCGTGTGAAAATCTGCAGCCTTCAGAGGCATAGAGGAAGCTCTCCAATTAGGGGTTCCCTTGCACTTTGTCACTAGCGGCAGAAATGCTCATCTGGCATGGCCCTAAGGAAAACAGGAAAGAGTGACTCCGTGCACAACAAGAACAGTTCTTTATTGAACTACTACCCTCCATGAAGTCTAGAGCTCCTCAAAGGGTCAGTCCACTCAAAGACAATAGTTACAAGAAGAGGGCTCAGTCACCTATTGAGTTCTTAAATCTTTTGGGGACTCCAAACAAGCAAACTTCTGGGGAGGGTTCCTGGACTATTTCCCTCTCATGTCATGGGTGTTCCCACACTCCCTGCCTTATTAG